AGTGCCTGTACTCCACTGGCCAGTACTGTATGACTGTGACTCATGAGCCATGCTACAGCCCAGTCTCGTGGCATCACAAGCTCCAAAGTCCTCCTAGGAGTAGAAGACTGAGAAAGAACCATCTCAATCAACAGAAGAAATCAGACTGGACTTGATGGTGTTGATTAGCTCTAACCATGCTGGGCCTGGCCCCTATAGAAAACCAGAAGGTCTTCTCTTGAGCATCTCCAGCATGGGAAGGCTTATTAGGACCAGCACTGCAGGAAACAGGCTGCCACAGGATTGCAACCAAGCTAAGAAAATTCCCAGGATCTACAGCACTAGGGAGTAGATTCAGAGGCAAGTGCTCAGCCAAACTACTTTGGAGACACAGTGTGCTGGTTTGAGCTGGAGTAGAGTTAACTTTCTTCACAGAGGCTAGTATGAGGCTATGTTTGGGTTTTGTGCTGAACACAGAGTTGATAATGCAGAGATGTTTTTGTTATTGCTGAGCAGAGCTCACACAGAGCCAAGGCCTTTGCTGCTTTCCGTACTGCCACACTGGCAAGGAAGTTGGGGGTGCATGGGAGATTGGGAGGAGACACAACTGGCACAGGTGACCCAAACTGACCAAAGGGAGATTCCATACCATAGGACATCATGCTCAGTATATAAGGTGGGAGGAAGAAGGAGGAAGGGGGGACATCTGGAGTGATGGTGTTTGTCTTCCCAAGGAACCGTTACGCGTGATGGTCCCTGCTCTCCTGGAGGTGCTGAACACCTCCTGTCTTTGGGAAGCAGTGAATTAATTCCTTGTTTTGCTTTGCTTGTGTGTGCAGTTTTTGCTTTCTCTATTAAACTGTCTTTATCTCAACCCATGAGTTTTTGTAGCTTTAACCCTTCTAATTCGCTCCCCCATCCCGTTGGTGGGGGAGTGAGTGAGAGGCTGTGTGGTTCTTGGCTGCTGCTGGGGTTAAACCACGACACACAGGAAATGGGAACTGGTAAACTCAGCCTCAGAACATGGATCACTGAAATACACTGTGCTCTTCCTGAGGCATCTCAGGTGTCTCTATACAACACTGCATTGTGCCAGGAGAAAATAACTTTACTTTCTTGCTGTCTGTAAGAGATAGAGCAGGATGTGTAAAATGATGACAGATCACAGAATGGTTGAGGTTGAAAAGGCACCTCCAATGGTCATCTGATCCACCTCCACCCCACCCAAACAGGGACACCTACAGCCACATGCACAGGACCATGTCTAGACAGCTTTTGTATATCTTCAAGGAGCAAGAGTCTTTCTGGGAAACTTGCGCCAATGCCTGGCCACTCTCACAGTGAAGAAGTCTTTCCTGATGTGAGGAGGGAACCTTGCATGTTTCAGCTGGTGACTATTGCCTCTGATTTTCTCACTGGGCATGAATGAATAGAGCCTGGCTCTGTTGTCTTTGTTCCCCCCATCAGGCACTTTGGTACATTGATGAGATTGCTCCCATTAAGCCTTCTTTTCTTCAGGCTGAACAGTCCCAGATCTCTCAACCTTTCTTCAAAGAGAAGATGCTCCAACCAAGTTAATCATCCTTAGATTCTCTCTAATCCTGAGAGGATTCTGTGCTGCCATGCCTTTGCATCTACCAACAATCAGGTAGGCTGAAACTAGGCAGAGTATTTTACACAAACTAAATTCACTACATCAATTGCAGTGTAGAAACACTGTAATGTTCACCTGTGGCCAATACAAACAAGAAGGTTGGGAACACAAGGCCCTCAGTGCAATTACCATCAGTCACCATCACATCTTAGAAAATCACAAAACTTAGATGGTAGCTCAGTGATTCTCACTGGGAAGTTATCAGCAACAGGATGGGCAGTTTATGGTGCTGAGACACAAACACTGAGCAAAAGCAATGGGAAAAGCTAAGGTCCTAGAATACAAAGGCATTTAATGAGAAGAAAAGGCATTTTAAGCTGAGCCCTCTCTCCCCTTACTGTTTAGTATTTTTGTCCTTATGTTGTCCATAATTGCTATTGAGCAACGAACACACACAGTCAGATTCCTACAATCAGGGGGTAGAAAATTGTGCTTGCACTTAGGGAAGGAAGATGTTAATTTTTCTGAATACTAAACAGACTACTCAACATTACCTAACCATTATTTAATATCATAAAATGGAGCTCTTAACTTCATTTTCCTACTATTATCAAGAGCTGATACTTTTTCTTTCATTAAGATTGAAGTCAGACCCTTTATGGATCCTACTACAAACTTCCATTTTCCTTTAACTGGAAAAACTGTTTCAGGATTACATTTAAATGGTTTTCTTTCAAAGACTGAGAGGAATTTTCCTACAAATTTTATTTCTAGTGCCAAAATTTAATGCGTTATTAAACTATTTTCCCCTTTTTCATTATAATTTGAGGCATCATTTATTTCTTTACATTCTTCTAGGTAAAAATATCTTTTCAATGCTAATTAAATTTTCTATGCAGCTAAATACTCTTTAGAATTTAGAAACTAACTATATTTGTAAAAAATATTTAAGAAAGTTAATGATTGCATTGATTTAACTCTTCCAAGATGTGAAAAAATGTATCCATTTCTAATGACAGCTTTCAGTTCTTAGGAAGAACATAAGGAACCTTCTATGTTGTTTGGTATTTTAAATCTTCTTGGATTTAATGGCCAAAAAAAAAAAAGATTTTTTTTGGCTAAAAAGATAGACTTTGCATATCAGCTTTGCAGTTGTATGACTCTCTTTTCTGCCCCATTTAAAAGTTGGTGCAGAATGCAGAAAATGCTGGGTTTGCATTTCAGACCACTAAAAACATGCTGAATATTGAGCTACTGAAACCAACAAAACAAAATAAATGGAAGAGTTGAAAAATCTTCCTTATACACAAGTCTAAATCATTTTGGAACAGTCTTGACTCTGCCTGTGCTCCAATGCTCCCACAAATTGTTCTTGATCCAAAACAAAATTACAGTGTCTTTGAGTCTTGGATTTTCAAAGCAAATATGCATCTTATGTCTTAAAATAGAGAGTTTAGACATACAACTTGGAGAAATGTTTTGGCCCCAATCTCACTGTAGGAGGAAAAGACATTTTCAAAGGCATAATAAATTCCCTTTTTTTCTTTATTCTCCCTTAAATCACATGCCCTTAAAAAAATCTCCTGCCTTTCCTCTCGAGTTGTCTGATCCGTATCATGATATAGCTATGCTTTAGGGCATTTCCAATTTGACAAAACTAACTGCTCACTTCTAAAAATCCCTTTACAGCATGACAGAATAAAGAGACTCAAAATCCATTATTTTAAGTCATTGACATTATTTTTCTGCCACACATTGCCCATGTGGACATGAAACTCTGAACACTGGCAATACCCACAGGCCCCACTTCATGGAAGTTGTTGGAGCTCTGAGGTGTGTTTTACCCTCAGCTAAAAAATCACTCTCGTGGAGAATAAAGCAAGAAGAAATAGAGTATAACTCAGGCATGGTTTTTGTCAGGGCACAGCACATATGCCAGCAGAGCTGCTGGAAAGACAGTTAAACACAAATGATGTTAATGTCTTCATGTACTCTCAAGTCCCTCTTGCACTTATGCTTCTGCTACAATGGATTGACGTGAAACACGAAGATCGTGCCAGGTTCTTTAAAACACAAACCAAAGAGGACTACAAAATGCCCTGCTACTCTAGGGCTACAGGTATGAAGATGAGTGTGAATATACACTATGCAACTCATTTGAAAGTGAATGTCAGATGATGCTGTGGCTCCCACTTCTCGGAGCTCTGTGCTACTGCCAGTCCTGGGCTGTCCTACAGCTACAAGGCAAACTGCAATGTTAAGTCTTCCTGTTTGTCATGCTGGTTTAACTTAATTTCAGAAATACCTCTGGAATTTCTGATTATTCTTCATCCTATGGGCAACAGACCACAGCCTTAAACACAGGCCACAGCAGAAAACATTTACATGTCGGCCTTAGTAACGTAAACCTTGCTACAAATTGCTTCACATCATTCCTGTCAAAAGAGAGGTATGTTTTATAGGAGGGGAAATTAAACACCAGAGAGGTGAAAGGACATGTTCAAAGAAAGGTTTACATGCATCAAACCCAGATCTGA